CAGCAGAGCGAGTGCCGTCCAAAGAGGGAAAGGAAGGGAAGGGGATGTGTGGAAAAGCCGGGGGGAAAACTCGGCAAAAGGAAACCAAGTGGAGCCCAGACAGAGAGCAGCACTCAAACGGCAGCCAAGAAGTCAACACAGAACGCCGTCGTCGTTTCGGATGTCGATGCTAAAGAGATGCAGGCGGTGCGAAGCTGCAGCTGGGAAAAAGCGAAGGGATTCTGGGGGGAAGAAGGAGGGGCCAGCACAAACACTGAAAATAAAAAAGTAACTAATCAAAAATTAAAAAAAAAAATTACATTTTATGTTAGAGGAAACCATTGCACCTATATTGAGTTTTATTACATTTTTAAAAAATAACTAAGAAATAATTATTTTATTCTTCTTATGAAACTAGTCACAACTTAATATAGATTTTTCCGCGGATAGTATAATAATTTAATCATCATTATACAAATTAAAGTAATCTCTGTGGAAAAGATACCATTTTAATAACCAAGCGAGATTTATTCGTGAAAAGCTTTTAAACTTATATCCTATTTAATAGCCATTACCCCCATATAAGGTTTCAGCACATCACAAATTGAGATTTAATATCTTTTGATATGCAAATCAAAACTCAATTCAGTTTATACTTTGGTTTTTGGAACGTGTAGCAATTTCGGGCTTCTGTCAACGACGAACCCTGCGATGTAGATGTGAATATGGATGTGAATTTGGATGTGGAGTGTGGAGTGTGGAGTGGCTCCCCAATTTGAACTGCAGACAATTAAAATAGCTTTGGTGGTGTGCGTGAGTCAATTGCCGGGGCGCCCACACATATGCTATCTTGTATCTTACGGATAATCTCTGCGTGTTGATTTATGCAACAGTTTCCAGTGTTTTGATCGATCATTCGAGCATTCGAATGCAGCCCTTTCGAGGCGATCCCTACCGAGACCCAAAGTGTATTAAAAACATTTAATTAGCCTTTATTGACCATTAAGATTCCAATCGTGGCTGGAACAGTAGCACGGCCACAGCATGGAATACACCCACCATCGCTTTCTACCCCACTTATTTATACACTCTTAGCTTTATTACTTTTCCACAAAAACATTTTATGGGCGGCATCGAAATATTTATGATATTTACAACAAAAAAGCGAAAATGTGAGGGCTCGAGAAATTTTTGACTAAATTCGAAATATAAAAACATACAAATTAATTAAAGTCAATAAAGTAAATTAAAAGTGGCCGAGGTCGGACCCCTTTTAATGGGCCAACTGGCGGCGAGCCCTACGCATTTCAGCCCGTCGCAGCAAGTTGTTTATGGCCAAGAGACCCCGGCTGCTCCTCTTCTGAGTGATCGCCATCATCGCGGATGGCTGGCATGCACTTCGCTGCCAATTTAATGGCGTTTTTACAACTTGAAAGATTCGTGCCCGACACGCCGTTTTGAGCGATGATGATTTTTCGGGGGACCCGCGATCCCTTTTCCCTCGTCTCCAAACGAAACGCACACTAAATGCAGCGCAGCGAATGTCATTAGGACATAAAAACGATATTAATTGCATGCGAGAGTGCGGGCAGTCCAGGCAATGGAGAACCTGAATGGGGATAAGGCGGGTTGTGGCACATGGCACATGGATGTGGCATGCAATAGAAACGTCAGCGTTCCGATGATGGAAGGGCCCGAGTTGGGGGCATTATAACTGATTGGGTGTTTGAGGAGCGAAAGAGATAAGAAACTGAACAGAAAATAAGTAAGAATTAAGGGTGCAAAATTAGGATGGTAACTAAAAGATATTTCTTGAAATTAGTAAAACAGGTTTTTAAACTAAGCATACCATGTGTTTTTTTTCGCTTGAAGGTACGCGAGTTCAATGAAGATTATTCTATTAGACTTCATTCCTTAATAACATAACCTTTCGAAAAAAAATATACATCAAATACCTGAAATACATACGTACTCAATTCCTCTTTTATTTTTTTCCCAGTGATTCAGTTGAGCTGGCGCTGGAAATCCTCGTGGATCCCAGAGAACCCGAGCGATCCACTTACGCCAGTACATTTCGTTTGCTGCTCTTTGATGGAGACGGCTGCCCCAGCGATCGCATGGCACTGATAAATAATAAAACTTAAAAATAAATTAACACCTAGTAAAGATGCAACGGTCTGGGGACTGGTTTCGCTGCCACTTTGTCCCCGCTCTGTCATTACTTGGGACCTGGTTTCGAATGTTGCCCGACCGCCGCAGACAGCTTAAAAATAGCGCAAAAGTAATTAAAAACGAAAATATAAAAGCAGAAAGACACATCCCGTCGTCCTCCCCTCCTCAGTCGAACGAATGGATGAAAAAAATAAATAAAAATAAAAATAAAAATTATGCTCGCCTGTATTGAATTTAACAAGCGCAACGTCGATGCAGGCAGAGATCAAAGAGTCTGGGACTCGGGAATGGGATAATGTGGCTGAAAGTGTTGCCTGTTGTCGATGGCCGATAATGATGATGCTAATGCAGTTGACATTTTATGTGGCCATAGAATGCCGGGCATGGCCGATAATTAAATGCAATAATAATTCAATTTAATTAGCTGGCAGCTGGCTGCTGGCTGCCGATGAAACGGAGAGGCTACAAACATAAATGCCCCAAGGGGAGTGCTTAAATATTGATGGATTGATTAGCATAATATTTGCTTTATGATTTCACATTGTTTGGGGATTTGGTTTACGGCCGCAGCGCCAGCTAATTGAAACACCTTAAAAGAGGTCATTAGTTGTGCAACATCTGTCAATGGTGTTGATGATGTACACTTGGAGAGGTTGTTTGGAAATGCAAACTGGAGGATTTATGTATATGGTATTAAGGCTATGGTAATACGAAGTTGTAATAGAGCTATTTAACTTTAATTCGTGTTAATCTACGGGGTAAAAAAAATTTCTTTTTATTAATTTCAATATATCTTAGGTTAATTATAAAAACCATTACCAAATTACTAACCTATCTACTTTTAAGTATAACTATTTTTAGACATTTCATTGCCAGCAATCAAAAGCTAACTAATTTCCGATGCGAATAGTTTTTGCCCAATGACAAATCATCGTTTATTGGCCCGAAAATCGGATTTAGTGAGAGCTTTTAATAAGCTACACAAACAGGACGAGAATAAGCGATATATATCCTTGCCCAGGAGCTTTCATGGACACAATGGCCGTGCTGGAGATATTTCATTGAATCAATTAACGCTGGACATGGCATAATAATTACTGTCTGCCGCACACACAAGCACACTCCTGTGGATTCAACCGACACACCCACTAACCAACCCACCACCCACTCAAGCACACCTACACACACACACACCCACACACAGAGACAAGGTCGCCCGAAGCGACGGAGCAGCAGGGACATGTTCATTTCTTCATTGATAACTGGATAGGAAGCTCATCCTGGCCTCGTTGCTTAACCAACTGTAACAATCCGAGTGGGCGACAGAGAGGCAAGAGCCTGGCAGAAAGGGACAGAAACAGGCAGATAGGAAGGGAGAACACGAGCTGACGCAAACAGATGCCGAAGGATGCAACAAGCACTGAGGAAAAATATGTTGTGATACGATTTAATCTTTGATTTTAAATCCATTTGTTTTTTATTGCTAGATTTTTTATTTTTTCGAGTTCTATATCATAGTATCATAGTAATTCCTTAAATACAGTAAAAGCTAAATCTATTTTGTGTTTGAAAATTCGCTTTCCTATATTGCGAAACATCGAGAAAAAAAATTTAAAAATAAAAATATAATTATATACATAATAACATTTGCATTTGACAAATACTTACACTCTTTTTGTAATGAAAAATGAAATACGACAAGCAACAAGTAAATAACTTCTTTTTGTAAATTTTGTTATTTTCTTCTCGTTGATTTTTTTCTCTGTGTAGCAGTAAAACAAAAATTTGCTCGTATTAAAGCAAAATAATGAAGTGAAAATGGCAACAATGTGATTACACACAGTCATAGACCCAAAGCCATAATAAATTGTTCCACAAGCGAGGGGTCACACCGTCTGCGAGCGAGCGAGTGAGATGGCAACACAGAGAGAGAGGGAGAACGAGAGCATCTGCGTCGGCGCTGTGCGAAATGTTGCATCCACTGTGGCAACATGATGCCAATGGGTAACTTGTTGGATGCAGCTGCCCCACTTGATAACTTCCTGCGGCGGGGAAACAAAAAAAAAGTTTTTCGCTCCCGCACCGATTTGTCTGGCAAACAATTTCCGAAATGCGATTGCTTAAACGCAATTGGAAAAGTTATTAATTGAGCTGGTCCGTAATGAACTCATTTACAGTTCGTAATGTGCTCCCATTACGAGGGGCACACACAAACAGCTGCCGATTCCGTTTTCGATTCTGATTTCGCTTCTGTTTCTGATTCAGATTCTGATTCCAATTCCGATTCCGGAGCACTTGATGGCAACATTACGTCGAGTTAAATGGCTTGTAATGATGATGTTTGCGAGACGGGGGACTCCGGACTCCAAGTCGAGGGGGAGGGGGTTAAATAGGGCTAAATGTGTCCAATCACTCGGGGGCGTTTTTTGGGGTTGGCGGGAGTGTGGGCCCGATTCGAAACAGGCGAGCAAATGTCAGACAGCGTTTCTCCATTTGCCGCTGGACGTCGGGGAGCCAGACGCTCGATATGGATATGACTACATCTAATGGATACACACGATTCTATCTTATCGCCCCTTCAGGAAGGAGGCAGCAAAACAGGCGCAAAACTTTGCCCCAAATGGGATTTGGTAAATAGCAAGTTATACTTGGGTACATGGTCAAATGGCATAAATAATTTATGTATTTATTGGGAGGACATTTTTGAAACAGTTTAAGAAAAGGCATAGAAATTTTATAAAAAATATATAAATAAAATATAAATAACTCTTATGAATATTTGTTCTCAAAAAACTTTTCAACTAAGAAGGCAACTTTTTGTAATCGTAGACAGGCCTTGGATTTAACTTTAGTTCTCTAAGACACTCAAACCAGATAATATCCAAACCAAACAAAACTACAAAAAACCAACATCGTATCGAATAGCAGAATCTTACTGAACTGCCGTGTTTATCAAGTTATTGTTTTTCTCTTGGTTTTGTGGCTGTTCTTACTCGCAATGGACGCTCTACTCGAACACGAAGACGAGGATTTCGATGAGGAACTGAGGATCGATCGAGTCGGCGATGCAGATGAAGATACAGATACAGATGCAATCGAAGATGGGGCAGCGCAACTCCAGCTAAGGATGAACAATCGCCAGATGGCGATGCTCCTGGACGCTCCACATGAACCACCAGTACTGGCTTTTCCAGGATGGGAAGGACGTTATCCTGCGGCGGATGGACCGCCACGCCTGCGCAAAAAGCGAAGCTTCTACACCATGGTGAAGGCGTCGCCAATGCTGCAAGTTCAACGACCGGAAATGTGCCTCCTGATGGCGAATGTCACGCGGGCAATGAGGCAAGTGCGGAAGGATCAGCGCGGCGAGTACTTTGCCAACTATTTGGTAGAGAACATGACCAGTCAGAACTATCCGAATGGTGTGGGTCTGCCACAACGCTGGGGTCAGTTCTGATCGATCATGAATGCCGGGAGTTGCAGCCGAAAACCCCAGCGAACCTAAGATCATCGAGCAGTTCCATTGGGAATCCATCGCGCTTATACTCATCACCATTTAACCATCCACTAACCCCACTAAAACTCAACTATATTGTCCCTTCTCCTCGACGACACATAAAACAAAGGCTAACTTGGGGCCAAAAAAAAAATGTTCCCGCCTGGAATATAACGTTCAATAAACCAAACTGTTCGGCAAAGTTAATTATTCATATTTGTTTTTTAAAATTGTAATCTTCTATTTTCAAAATTGATTTTAAGTTTTTTTAAATTTACTACTTGTTACAAATGAAATGAGCGAATATATATGAAATATATACTTTTGTGCTGATACAATTCAATTGTGAGTTTCAAATGGCCCGAGGGGAAAGTTAACACTTGAAATTAATTAAAATTCTTTTGAATAACACACTTTCTGCTCTCAAAACCAGAATTGATCCCAAAAACAAACAGCTCTTTAAACCAAACTTCACTAACAGCCATCGGATTAATAAAGCATTTACAGTTCAAACAGAGAATCACTTTTGCAGCCCGTACACACAAATCAAAGTTTTTGATTTTGATTTGCTTTTCGAGCGAGAGACCGAATTGATGGCCTAAAGGCTACCGAAAAATTCATGAAATTGACAATTAATAAACTTCAAATTGGAAGCCGTACTACACACACACACACCCATTCGGATGTTGCAACGTCCCCTCGAATTCAACTGGCTGTGTGTGTGGCAAAAACAAAAGGATTCGCAGGGCCAACAACAATTGGGCCCACACATATGCACTTTCGGCCACTGACAATGGCCACAATGAACTGTGGAAGCCAGAGACAAAGACCGAATGCGGACAATTGCCCAAAGTGTAGCAAATAAATACAAAATGCAAAAGATAATTGCAATCAAAGCCACAAAATGTAGCCAAAAGGCTTATAAATTGTGGGCGGCTGAGGAAAAGCCGCAGGGTTGAGGCGGGAAAATTTGCGGATGAGGAAAGGGGGAGGGGGAGGGGGAAGGGGGTAGTTGGATGGCCGAAGGTAAACGCATTTAATTTCCTAAATGTGCTTCACATACCACAGGCGGCACAATGATACACACTTGCATTCGCATGCAAATACACAGCAGTCAGTTGCAGTGTTGCAGTTGCAATTGCATTTGCAACATCAACCCACCCAAATGGGGGGAAGCAACAACGGGAAGAAGAAGCAGCTGGAGCGACGGCAATTTACGGCCATTATTGCAACAGACAGCCAGCTATATTATGTGCCACGCCCGCAACAAAGGCACTGTAAATAAAGTTAAATTTATTAATAACATAATTTATTTAAAGAGAAAAACATTCTCTTATGATTCAATTTAAATCCAATTTAATATTGATTATGATTAAATAATAGTTAAGTTTCTGGAGAATGTAGGCTGTATAGAATTAATTTACTTGAGCAATGGGGGAATATACCATTTTCTTTTTACCGTGTAACCCCCTCTAGCCCCTTTTTACCCCGCCCCTCGACAGGAAAAGTGGGTGGGGTCGACTTCTGCCATAACTTTTTGTGGCTGCTTTTAGGCTGAGCTTTTGCATTTGCTTTTTGGTCGCTCTGTGATTGCTGTTGCAAATGGCCACATGCAACAATGTTGCTCTTGTTGTTGTTGTTGTTGCTGCTGCTCATGCCACCGCGCGCCCTCTAATTGAATTGCATTGAATTGAATTGAATTGATTTTCGGTTTGGCTTTGTCCGCCTAATTGTTGCATTTACATGGGCGGAATGGCCATTTGAAAGCATTAGACACACAACTCAAATTAAACAAATGTCGTGCATAAAAGGAGTTATCGTTTAAAAAAGGGGGCGACGTTTAAAGCGTAATTATGACATTGTTGCAAGGGGTTGATTAATCTGCAAAATGCTGCACACAATCTCTGACAATCGAGTGGCATGGAGTTTTCCGTTTGGATTCCCATTGTTTGACAAACGATTCGGGGGCGACTCTTCCCCAAACAATTTGTGTCCTTGTGCCAAATGGACCTGCTGTTTCATTGGGGTTGTTGCACGAATGGGTTTCCTGAACTCCAGCCGCCGGCAGTTGAACGCACGATATGTGATTGATGCTCATCCGCTATCGCCGAGCTCCATTGTTGCGCGATGTCTTTGATCTATGACCACCACCCACTCCAATGCCACCTGGCATTGTTGAGTAATTGATTTTCCCTCACGTGGCTCCATTCCTGCCTTCCTCAAATTGTCAAGTTAATTTGGGTTCATCTACATGCCAGCATGAATTCAATGTCGCAGCAACTCTTGTAATTTCTCCCTAATTATATACACACTTTACTTCGCATTAATTATTGTCACTGGGTTCCCGTGAAATCCCCCCAAAACTCAAACGCTCGCGATTTTGCCCGCTCAGCAAAGTTACGTACAAACAATTACAGCAACGCGGCAAAGCGGCTAAACTTATACGTTAAAAGGCAAATTTAAGTACTCTACCCAAAAAGGGAATGGATTTCAATAATTATTTATTTAAAGTAGATTAAAAGTCATATATTCCAAACCTTTATCATTAGTCAAACGCTCAACTTTTCTTTAACCAATAAAATTAAGAAATAACTACATGTATGGTATTTTATAAAAAATGCCTTTTATGTTTAATTTATTTTTCAGAATAGTACTATAAATATTACTAGAATAAATGGTATCTTACATTTCCTTGATTTCTTCACATGTTATTGTTTCCAAGTAATACCCTTTTAGTGCCTCCTAGAGTATCTAAGCTTCGCCATTGAGTTAAGCGCTTTACATATTTTGTTTTTATTCTGTTGTATTTATGGGGAAACGTGTGCAGAAAGTTTTCCACTTACAAACAATTCACAAGTAAAATACCTTGACTTTTGCTGCTGCCCATGGAGAATGGTGGGGGTTTCGTTGCGGAGGAAGCTGATGTCTGTGACTGCCATTACCAAGGCTCTTATGCCCCTCCGATGCCCCTGCAGCATATTGCACACACACACACTGTAGCAAATTGTTGGAAAATAAAGTAAGTACACCAGCAACATAAACAGCAACAGCAGCAACAACAGAAGCAACAGCAACATCCGCCCGAACGAATGGCAAACTGAGCATCAGTTAGAGATACTTTTCGACGTAAGTAGCGTGGGTGGGCTGCAGCCAGTCTTCCTTGGTTCCTTGTTCCCCATTCCCTTCTAAAATCTCCCTCCCCCCTTAAAACCCCTCCCCCTTAAACTTCCAGCAATCCAAGTCGGCTGTCTAAATACGAGCAAGCGATTTGTACATCTAGTTGCTAGTTGGCAACAGCAACTTCCACTTATACTTCCACCGAAGGAACCATGGCAACATCTGTCTCGGCAAACAGAGTTTATGCAAAATAATAATAGCCAAATGCAGTTTTGCCCGGGTTATCGGGCTAATAAGTACGTATTCTCCAATGGCCACCCAAAAAAAAAACAAAAAATGCAGCTAATGAAATTACTTGACTGGCTTCTTGTTTCAGTGTAATAACCTAATTCCTTGGTACTATATTATTCATTTCACTGCACCCATGCGGCAGGAATTTGATGGAATTTCCTGTAAACAGGCAGCTAGCAGCAGACAGACGGACATGCCACTTCCCCCGAATAGACACACAGACATACAGTGAACACACTGGTTGAAGGCAGGGAACTTAAGTCGTCGGAGAGGCAGACTAAAGGGACGGACACATAAACAGGCTTATGAGCAGTTTGGAGGGAACGTCTATTGGTTGTCCCTGGTCTTTAGTTGCTGTTGTTTCTGTTGTTGTTGCTGTTGTTGTTTTTGTTGCTGTTGCTGCTCTTTGTTGCCGTTGCCGGTTAAGCAAACAGGGCAAACGCCACCACAGACAATCAGAAAGGCATTCGGCCAAGAGAATGCCGAACACCAGCAACAAAGCTTGGCAAAAACACAAAGTCACACAGACCATCAAGTTTTTTTTGCTATGCGTTCTCTTAATTTGTAAACATCTTGAGTAAATTTTCTGAATGCTATCTAAAATATCCAAAGCAAAGATTAAATCAAAAATATGTTTTAAATGATTAAGTGTTATTTAAAGAATTTTTGATAAAAATATCACTTTGGAATAGGCAAACTGCGATTAAAATTGATAACAAATTGATTAAGGAAAGTAAATTAAAATTGTATTGAATATTAAAGCTTAATTTATGATGCCATTACAAATGCAGCAATTCATATTTCAGAAATGCCGCTTAAGGGCACAAAGTATTTGCATACTTGAGCTAAAAGCCAGCATAATGTAGCCTGAAAACTGTGCCATCAAGACGTCTCTCTGAATGATTCATTTGGCATTTTGCGATCTTAATTGATGGCAATTTGTGATTCGTCCTCGGCGACTGTATTTCCCCTCCCTCCCCCTTTTTCCCCATCATCTGAAAAGAAGACAGCGGACCATTAACACATTTTAATCTGCCGCTGGGCGAATGGCTTTTTGTGTGGTCGATGTGGAGGGGAGTGGTTATTCTGATTCTGATTCTGATTCAGAATCTGATTCTGAAACTGAATCGGAATGGGAATGGGAATCGGAATCGGAAGCTCCTCCGGCAGCGAAAGCTGGCGCTCAGTCGCTCTTAATCATCAGCATAAGCAATAATGGGAAACAATTGCCATCTGCCGACTGCCAGACTGCTTTTTCTGCCACTGAAATTGCTGAGCTGAGGCACAAACTTTTATTGCATTGCCATGTCAACAGTCGGAGCACAGCGGCAATTGCAATCTATGTGTGTGAGTATATGTGAGTTTGTGTGAGTATTTCTGTATGTCTGTATGTGCCAGCGTTGCACTTAAAATGCGAATCCGAATCTGAATCCCGAGACCAACTGCGAATGCGAATGCGAATTGTGACGCAAAATGAAGCTACTTGTGTGCCAGTGGCAGCCAGCAAGGCTACAGACACAGAAACAGAAACAGATACAGATACAGATGCAAACAGCGGTGGTGCTGTTGCTGTTGCTGTTGCTGCTGCTGCCGCTGCAGCATGCCACATTCAATTAGTGCAACAACATATCCTGCCAGCCGTTGATGTTGCTCTCTTGCACGGCAGCAACACACAGTCTGTAGACCGGAGTCCACAGTCCGTAGTCCGTAGTCCGGAGTCAGTGCTACACTTAATTTTATTCATTTGACAGTCGCTTGCTGCAGCACAGCCGTCTCCTCCATGGGGCACATTCGAATCG